AAATAACAAAGAATATTAATTGTTAATTTACATATTCAGTGCCTTATCAATCATACTACCAAATAATTACTTCATAGAGGTAGAAAAAAATAACAAAATTCATCCAGAGGAACAAAAAGTGAAGAATATAAAGGGAATCAATGAGGGGAAAAATAGGAAGGGAGACTAACAGTACAAGATCTCAAACAATATTACAACGCTGGAATTAACAAAACAATTTGGTACTGGATTAAAAAATAGGTTGATCAGTTAAATAGATTAGGTATACAATATACGGAAGCAAATGAGCACAGTAACCTAGTATTTGATAAACTCAAAAGATCCAATCTATTGTGGGAAGAACTCACTATTAAAAAAAAAAAACCTGTTGGGAAAACTGGAAAGAAGTCTGAATGAAACTAGGTACAGATCACCCTCTCCCACTGTATATTTATCCTGTGCCTTTGCTCTCCTATTTCTTTTCTTTTTTTTTTTTTGTAGCTTCGTTTGTTTTTTTGTTTTTGTTTTTTTTTTTTGTTTTTTCGTGAGGCAATAGGGGTTAAGTGACTTGCCCAGGATCACATAGCTAGTAAGTGTTAAGTGTTTGGTCTGAGGTCAGATTTGAACTCGGGTCCTCCTGACTTCAGGGCCAGTGCTCTATCCACCGCGCCACCTAGCTGCCCCTAGAAGTGGCTTTTTAAATGTCATTTTCTTCTTCTAAGTATGAACCCAGATCTTCTCTATCACCATAGTAGTTAATCTATGGTTGAGTTCTTTTGTGTTTAATTTTTTTTAAGTGACTTCTTTCTTGGCTGTTAACTTTACATTACAGTCGGGTTCTAGTGCCAGTGTATGGGGGATGGTGTCTCAGACTTCAGGTTTTTTGTACTGTTGTTTTCTGAATAATGGAGGGATTTTTACACTCTTCTAAATGTATATGTTATTCCCTCTTTAACTCAGTTCTGATAAGAATAATGTTCTGGCACTATCAGCCCTACACCCCAACTGTGGCAGTTCTTTCATCGTCAAATGAACTAGGAAATAGGAGAGGGAGGGGACTGGATAAAGAAGGGACTTTTAGAACAGTGTGTAGATCAAGAAGTAGGAGGGTGGGAGGAGAGGAAAAAGGAGCAGTAGGAAGGTTAAGGAATAGGAGGGTAAGGGGAGAGGATAAGGGAGGGATTCTTTAAAGCGGTGCTTCAGCTGATGTAAAAAAAAAAGCAGGGATAGCAATCATGATCTCAGACAAAGCTAAAGCTAAAATAGATTTAATTAAAAGAGATAAACAGGGAAACTTCATTATGACAAAATTACCATAGACAATGGAGTAATATCAACAATAAATATATATGCACCAAATGCTATAGCACCTAAACTTTTAAAGGAAAAGTTAAATGAATTACAGGTGGAAATATAGGGTAATACTATAATAGTGGGAGACTTTAACCTTCCCCTCTCAGAATTAGATTAACCAAAAATAAGTAAGAAAGAAGTCAAGGTGGTGAATAGAATCTTACATAAGCTAGATATGATAGATATCTGGAGAGAACTGATTGGAAACAGAAAGGAACATGCCTTTTTTTCAGTGATACATGACACCTTGACAAAAACTGACCATTACAGCATAAAATAGTATATAGTTAAATGCAGAAAAGCAGGAATATTAAATGCATCCTTTTCAGATCACATGTAATAAAAATTATATATTCAATAAGGGACCATGGAAACACAGATTAAAAACTAATTGGAGACTAAACAACCTAATCTTAAAGGATGAGTGGGTTAAAGACCAAATCATAGAAACAATAATTTTCTTAAAAGGGATGACAATAGTGAGACAACATACCAAAACCTATGGGATGCAGCAAAAAGAATAATCAGAGGAAAATTTATATCTCTAAATGCTTATATCAATAAAATAGAGAAAAAGCATGCTAATGAATTGGGTATACAATTAAAAAAACTAAAAAAAAAAAATAAATTAAAAATCCCCAATTAAATACCAAACTGGAAATCCTAAAAGTTAAAGGTGAGATTAATAAAATTGAGTGTGAGAAAACTGTTGAATTAATAAAATTAGGTGTGTTTTTTGAAAAAAGCCAACAGTTAAACCATTGGTTCATATGATTTTTAAAAAAGAGAGAAGAAAACCAAGTCACTATTATTAAAAATGAAAAGGGTGAATATACCACTAATGAAGATGAAATCAAAGCAATTATAAAGAGTTATTTTGTCTAATTATATGCCAATAAATTTAACAATTTAAGTGAAATGGAATAATATTTACCAAAATATAAACTGGCTAGATTAACAGAAGAGGAAATAGAACATCTAAATAAAGCTATTTTAGAAAAAGATGAACAGGCCATAAATAAGCTTCCTAAGAAAAAAAACCATCAGGACCAGACACATTTACAAGTGAATTTTACCAAACATTTAAAGATCAACTAATTCCAATATTAAATAAATTGTCTGGAATAATAGGAAAGGGAGTTCTACCAAACTCCTTTTATGAAACAAATATGGTGCTGATACCTAAACCAGGAAGAGCAAAAACAGAAGATTATAGACCAATTTCACTGATGAATATAGATGCAAAAATCCTAAATAAAATATTAACTAGGAGACTACAACAATATGTTCCAAAGATTGTAAGTGGAATTTATACCAGGAATGCAGGGATGGTTTAACATAAGGAAAATTATTAATAGAATTGATTATATCAATAATAAACGTAACAAATCATATGATTATGTCAATAGATTCAGAAAAAGCTGTTCATAAAATACAACATTCATTCTCATTAAAAATACTTGAAAGCATAGGTATAAATGGATTTTTCCTTAAAATGGTAAAAAGCATCTACCTAAAATGATCAGCAAGCAGTATTTATAATGAGGATAAGCTAGAAGCCTTCCCAGTAAGATCAGGAGTGAAACAAGGATGCCCTTTGTCACCAATATTTTTCAACATTGTATTAAAAATGTGAGCAATTAACAATAAGAGAAGAAAAAGAAATTGAAGGAATCAGAATGGGCAATGAGGAAATAAAACTATCTCTTTTTACACAAAATATAATTGTATGCTTGGAAAATCCTAAAGATTCACCTAAAAAGTTAGTTGAAAAAATTATTTTAATTATTTCATATTTTCATTAATTATTGTTTTAATTAAGTTGAAAAATTAACAATTTTAGCAAAGTAGCAGGATATAAAATAACCCCACATAAATCACCAGCATTTCTATATATCACCAACAAAACCCTGTAAGCAGAGATAGTAAGAGATACCCCATTTAAAATAATTGTAGATAGTATAAAATACCTGGGAGTGAACTTGCAAAAACAAACCCAGAAACTACATGAATATAATTATAACATTTTTATTCAAATAAAGCCAGATTTAAGTAATTGGAGAAAAATAATTGTTCTTGGGTAGGTAGAGCCAATATAATACAAATGACAATTTTACCTAAACTGTTTATTCAATGCAATCCCAATTAGATTACCAAAAAATTATTTTACTAACTTAGGAAAAAATAACAAAATTCATTTGGAAGAAGAAAGGGTCAAGAATATAAAAGGAATTAATGAAAAAAAAAAGTAAAGGAAGGAGGTTTAGCAGTACCAGATCTTAAACTATATTGTAAGGTTGTAATTATCAAAACTATCTGGTGCTGGCTGAGAAATAGAAAAGTAGATCAATGGAACTGAGTAGATATATAATACACAGTAGCAAATGATTATAGTAACCTTGTGTTTGACAAGTGTAAAGATCATTATTTGGTAAAAAATTTTGGAGAAAACTGGAAAGATATCTGGGAGAAACTGAGCATAGACCAATATCTTACACATTTACCAAGATAAGGTCAAAATGGATACATAATACAGATATAAAAGGAAATGTCACAAGAAAATTAGAACATGGATCATATTACTTATCAGACTTATGGATAGGAGAAGAATTTATGAATAAACAAGGGATAGTAAGCATTGTGTGGCATAAAATGGATAATTTTGATCATATTAAATTAAAAAAGGTTTGTACAAATAAAACCAATGTAGTCAAGATTAGAAAGAAAGCAGAAAATTGGGAAAAATTTTTTATAGAGTTTGTCAGATAAAAGTCTCATGTCTCAAATATATAGAGAACTTTATAAGAATATGAGTTATTCCCCAAATGATAAATAGTCAAAGGATATGAACACGCAGTTCTTTGATGAAGAAATCAAAACTATATATACTCATAGGAAAAAAATGCTCTAAATCATTATGGATTAGAGAAATGCAAATTAAAACAACTTTGAGATATCATCCTACACCTATCAGATTGGCTAAAATGAGAGAAGGGGAAAGCAACACATGTTGGAGGGGATGTGGAAAAATTAGGACGCTAATACATTGTTTGTGGAACTGTGAATTGATCCAACCATTTTGGAGAGCAATTTGGAATTATTCCAAAAGAGACCTAGCTAGAGTCAGGAAGACCTGAATTCAAATCCTACCTCAGATACTTAGTAGCTGTGGACAAGTCACTTAATCCCTGTTTGCCTCAGTTTCCTTATGTGTAAAATGGGCATAACAGCAGTACTTCTCTCATAGGTCTAAATGAGTTAACGCATGTAAAATGATCTGCAAACCTTAAAAGGCAACCTCAGTGGTAGCTATTATTACAACAATTAAGAATCACTTTGGTTTTTGTTATCTCTAGCACTGGCAGGGCTTGGCACACAGGCTTGCTGCTTGAGAGTTTGGCATGCAGCAGGGACTTAACAGATGCTCTGGTTGCTAGATCTGTGAGCTGAGGTCTCACTGCCTCCCTCTGCACACTGCTGGGGCTTAATAGATGCTCTGGCATCAGCTGCTGTATCTGCAAGCTGGGGTCTCACCCCCTGGGCCTCAGTTCCTCCTCAGCACCAGTCTCCTCACACACAGAGCGCTCTGGGTGCACACAGCTGGCGCTTAATAAGTGTAGCTGTCAGCAGGGGCCCATGAGCTGGCTGGGCCTCAGGGCAGGCCGCACCTCCCTTTGGGAGCCTCGGGGTCAGAGTCAGGAGCGAAGGAGAAGTGGCCTCTCGATCGTGGGCATGGCCGTGCCGAACAGGAGTACCACGAGCCCCCAACACCCCATCTAAGGCCGCAGACTGACCTCCAGGCCGGAAACACGCGTTGCCTGGGCGACCGCGGGGCATCACGGGAGGAGGCGGGCTGGGGAAAGGAGAGGGGCGGAGCAGGCTGGGAGAGGCGGAACGGGGGTCGGGGCTAAGCCAGCCCGAGGAAGGGGCGGGGATTGACGTCAGGGACAAGAGCCTGGGGTTCAGACTTGGGGGGAGGATGACATCAGGAGAAGTAAGTCACCTCTGAGGACGCGAGGAGACCGCAGTGGGGGGCGCAGAGCGAGGGCACTCTAGGGAGGAGGATGGCGTCAGGGGAGCCGAACGACGTCTACGAAGGGGACGAGATTGACGTCAGGGCAGCCTAGCGAGGTTGGGGAACTGGAAGGGGATGACGTCAGGGGCTCAGAGCCCTCCTCTCCCCCACTCACCGTACCCCCGCCCTGGGGCAGAGAGGAAGAGTAATGTTAGGGGCACAGAGTAGATCTTGGAAATTGGAAGGGATGACGTTGGGTGCTCAGAATAAAGACTGAAAGATGACGTCACGGGCGTAGAGGGGAGTGGGAAGCACCTTGGATTAGAGTTAAAGGAACTGGGTTCTAATCTTGATTCTGCTATTACTACACGTGAGCCGTTGAACAAGTTACTTAGCCTCTCTGAGCCTCAGTTTCCTCATTATCTTGGCAAAACCCTAGTAAGTCTCCACCCTGTTTCATTTTGTACTCAAAGCCAGATTTCCTGTTATTCTGCAGCAATACTTCCCACTCCTGCCTTTTATGATGATGCTTCTCCTAGAGCTGAAAATGATCTTAAGGATGCAACCTCCTCATTTTATGCATGAGGAAACTGAGGCCCAGAGAAGTCATATTCCCCTAGCCCAAGGTCACACAGGCAGGAAGTAGCAGATCTGGGATTCAGTCTGAGGGTCCTTCCCAGCAGTCTTTCCACCAGCAGCAGAACAAGTCCAGGTCTTCTGACTCTAACATCAGTGTTCTTCCCTCTCTATCCCACTCCTTCCTCCGTGAACCCCCAAACCCCATCCTTGTCTCCCTGCCTTCATCCTCCCTCCCTTGCCTAAGCTCTCTTGGCTCTCCTGACACCATCATCCTTCCCTTTCCAAGACTGCTGTGTCCCCAGGCCTTTGTCCAGCTTCCTGGGTTAGCTCTGCTCCTTCGAAGTCATCCTCTTCCAGATCCCAAGCCTTCCTTCCTCTGCACCCCTGACTCATCTTCCTCCCTAAGCTGTGCTCTGAGCCCTGAATGTCAATGGCCTCCATTTCCCTAAGCTTGCTCAGCTCCTCCGACACCCTCCTCCTTTCATGTTCTGCATCAGTCTCCTCCCCT